TACTAGCAAAAACAAAGTAGTGTAACCCAACAACCAGCAAACCTCATGTGGTAAAGAAATTAGTGGGTAGCTGGAAGAACAACTCTCGTACATTGACTTGTAGCGTGCTTTCAGAAGCAATAGCTAAAATCATGCTGCCAGTATGCTGACCTTGATATAAATGGATTAAATAAGGCATTCCCTGTACTGAAGTGTAAAGTAGCTTGAGAGCCACTGGGTGAGTGAAAAGATTATTTGTCTGACTTCCCAAATGGGAAATTGGTTCACTCAGTTAACTAGGGCTAGGTTTCTACTGCAGATAGGTATGCTGGGATCTGAGCTCTTCAGAAAGATTGTCACTGTAGGACCTGATCCAATCTAAAAGAAAACTCATGGAAGGACTAGGAATCAGTACCGCCTGTGAACAATTTTTTTCCCCACTACAACCAAGAAAATATTAGATTAGAAGAGACTTCTGGAGGTCATCTAATCCAACTTCCTGCTCAAAGCAAGGACAGTGTAAAGGGTAGGTTAGGATTCCCTAGTTTCATCTCTGTTTTCCAATATTTCTTTAGACAATACCTCTATTCTTTCTGGTTAAGCTTGTCCCCTCAACCAATACATATATCTACATAGACACATACCAAAAACTTATATGCAAAATCCTTAAAAAATTCCTAGTGATTGAACAGGTCAACTGCTGATGTTTTAGAAGCTGCTTTGATAGCTCAAATTTGTTTCAGACAGGAAACAGTAATTTTTGAAAAACCTAGTTTTACCATTTTAAACCCAAATACATGGATGTCCAACACCAAATAAGAAAAATAAATTCATGGTGAAATAATCCAGCATTATTAAGAATCGTAGAATATTTATGGATGAATCCAACCTTAATTAAAACTGACAGAAAAGAGATATTTGAATTTTAAAAAAGAGATCACATAGAATAACACTTACCTTTTTCACAGAGGTGAATAAAGCAAGCAAGGTGGAATGAAGAGCCCTGAGTTGTGAGAGCTTTTATACAGTTCCCTAGATCATGGGGATCACTTAAGGTGCAATTTGCGCATGTGCATAATTGGGGCAAACCCAAAACTAATATGACACGTAGGTCCTCAAAATTTTGCTGACTATTTGTTTATTTGTTGGTTCGAAGTCTCGTGAAATATGATAGGTGCATTTCATCACAGAAACCTCTTTCATCTCAAATGGTTACATGTCATATTCATTCCTGTTATCATTCCATTCACATCCTTGGTGTTACAACAAGAATTATACTAACGCTTTTCCTTAGCTTCTCCATTATTAGTGGCAAAAGCCAGCCGCGCACTGCGTCGCTGTGGTCACCTGATGTGCACAGATTTTCCTGTTAAATCAAGGCTGTGAGATACTGGAGATAAAATGGAGCTCATTAGAATAACTTCGGGGTTGTCCTTTTTATCTTTATCATTTGGACTCTCAGCTATTTAACGTGAGACCAACACTGCACCCAAAGGAAGCCGTAGCAAACATCCTGTGGTCTTCTTCTATTGTTTGGCTTTTGCTCCTGAACACAGTGCTGGACTCATCTAATGAACGAGGGACTTGGGGAAATACCTCTTGCTTTCTCTGTCGTGCATTCAGCTGTGGATTACTCTCCCTGTCCTTTTCTCAAACACTGGCAAGTCCTTTGGACCATTACTCTACAGCTATGGAAGATGACCAATGAGATTTCAAGCAGAGGACAGAGACAGAACATCCTTTTAAACTACACAGCTTTTTCTAGCAGGTCTCTCTTACTGTATTTTGACCTAGGTTGGAGTCTAGAGGCAAAGTAATACTTACTCTTTCTGTTCTCAAGATTGCAAGGCACTTTCTTTGTGAAGCATTTGTCACCCAGATTTTCCAGTTTTCTGTCTCCTGACACAAAGCTTTCAGGGATCCATTTTCATGTCCATCTTCAGATCAGGCAATATTGAAGACTACTGAGAAATGAAATTAAATGAAACGTGACTAGTGGCAACCTGCTAAAGCTATCTGGAGATACGTCATGGTGGAGACAGAGAAATTGTTTACATGGGGAAAGGCTGATCATTGATAGAATTGTAACATCTCCAGAAAATAATTAAAACTTCTGTTTCTGTGGTCTGATGTGCAACTGAAAGTGATAAAGACACGCTAATTATACAGCTTATGAAATACTGTATTTTATTTAAAAGTTTATATTTCGTTCTATACGTCTACATTGAAAAAACCTGAAGTTGCACAAATCCCCAGTATTCAGCCATGAACTGATTATACCAAGGATGCAAATACCTTGACTTACATATTTTAATGTGCTGCCATTCCATAATTGCTAGGCACCTAAATCCAGGTACATGCCTTTAACCTAATTGTAAGAATGCATTCTCAAACCATTAGTGGGTAGTTTGCAGCATTTGAAAAGACTTGCTCCCTGGAAGCTTGAAAATATTCTTGTCCAAAAAAACTTCTAACCACCTCAAAGGCTGAGAAATCCACCTCATAATTTAGAGATAATCTATGGCATAGAGTCTGCAGTATTAAAATAACACGTCTGTAAACAAGGGAAGAACCAGCCTTTGTTTTGCATGTTGCATTCCAAGTTCATATTTGTTCCCTGTTTGCAGAAATTGCCAGCTCAGCCCTGTTCTGGACTCATTGCTTGCAGCAACAATAGTGTATTACAGGAGGACATGAATTCTTGAGAATCAAAGTCAATAATTCAAAGTATTTCTGTTAAATTTCAATCTTTGCACCAGAGGATCCACCTGTACTGAAAAAGCTTAGGTTTCCTCCAGCCTATTAAATATTCTCAAGCATCATCTTTGCATCAACAGTACCAAACCAACAACATCTGGAAAATTCTCTTTGGGGTCTCCAATCCCTTTGTAGCTTTAGTTAACTTCAGAAACCCATTCCATGTTTATCTCTTGAAAAACAAAAACAATCCCCAGGAAGATAAAAGCTTTTGCTCCATCTTCTATGTGAAATTGTGCCAACTTATTCCTACATATTTTTGTAAGGCAATACAACTCTTTGAGTGACTGAAGGATGGAGAAACTGATTCAGCTCATATCTGCATGAAAAGAGGTCCCAGTGCTTCAAAACTAAGGATTTCACAATTTTTCTGCTCAAAGCTAAATTTCAGTTTCCACATAAGCCTTATTTAGAGACTGAAGCACATATTGCAGGTCCCTGGAATTCCTG